CTGGGGAAGCACTAAATTGTTGGAAATGTTATTCTTTGAATGAGGTACATTAAATTAAGGTCCCATCTGCCCATTCAGGTGGACATTAATATATCCTGTTGCACCAGTCAAAAAATGAGATGATAGTTTCTCCTGCCAAAAGATCCTTTGGAAAAAATTAGTCAATCACTTCATTGGCTGACCATTCACCTACAAATATGATTTGTCACTACACTTTACGAAACTTGGTGAGGTGCTTTGAGATATTACTGACACTATAAATCCTACATTAAATGCGAAAATTATTATTACTAATAATAAGTAATGCAAAGGAAGCTGGATTAGTAGGATGTTTGGCTCTGAAATCATATTAAAACCTTACTGTTTGAGCAGCAAACTTAATTCACCAATTTAGAATAATAATCACTGCATTTGACATAGCGCTTTATAGCTTCGAAAGATCTCAAAGCGCTTCACAGAATATACTGTAAAGTGAATTAACTGTATATTTTGTGGGCGAAACACAGCAGCCAATTGCACACAGCTGTATCTCCCAAACAGTCGTGATTGAGTGACCAAATTATTATTATTGTTTATTTATCTTTTGAAGGGATTATTCCCCCCAGAAAAGTGATCCACCGATTGGCTAACAATCGGGTTTCTATTTACTGCTGTGTAAACAGAGGCATGTGGAATAAGGAAGCCAGGTCCTTTCGCTTGCGAGGCGAGTGCTCTTAACCAATATGCTACTGGACCAATTATGATACAGGGCTTTTTTTGTAGGCCCTGTATATAATAATAATCCTTGCATTTGACATAGCACCTTATCACATCTTCGAGACGCCTCATGAATGACTTTATGAATGACTATATGAATGACTTTTTTTTTACAAAACGATGGGAAGAAAGGAGGGAATTCGAGGATGTACTGAAGACACAGTCAAGGAGAGCTCTTTTTAAAAAGGATCTTGAAATTCAGATATGAATGGTTCTCAAAGTAATGTGTAGTGTACCCACTACAACAACTTTACCTTTTGCTCCTTGAACAGTTTCTCCCTTCTTTTTCTTTTTTCCTTCAGCAATTCTTTGTCCCTGTATTTAAAACACAACAACTTGCAGTTTATATAATACTCTTCACACACGTTGTGTCTCGACAGTGTTTCTGATTATAAGGTCACTTGCTCCCACAATTATAGATAAAGTGACCTTTAGCATCTTGACAATGTTGAACTCAGTTCAACCTTCAGACGATGGGTTAATCAAAGTTATTCTCCCACGAATTCTGAGGCTTAATACCTCCTTCAATACTATTTTACCTATTTTATAAAACCAAATTTTACATTTACATAGAAACAGGAGTAGGCTATTCAGCCCCTCGAACCTGTTCCGCCATTTTATAAGATCAAGGCTGATCTATACCTCAAATCCAGTTACCCTTGCCCTGTATCCTGCCCAAACCTGAATACTCCAGGTGGCGTCTGACCAAGGCTTACATTCCAATATTCCCACAAGATATTAATATATACACACAACAGTTCTTACGATTTCTCTTCATACCACTAAAACCTTGAGGTACGCTGGAGTTTGACTGGCTAATATCTCAATACTTGCCATGCCATCAAATCTAAATGGCGATTTAGACCTCAACATTGCAAATGAGCTGCAAGGGCACAAATGTTAGCAATGATCTTGTTTAAGAGTCAGAAATTCTGCGCAGTTTTGGTTGTATGCTTTTGAGGTTACATTGCTCAGAGTTCAACCCATGGATTAAATTGTAAACCAGGCTGCACAACATTAATCCACAATCTTATTATTCTATACAGCTGCATGCAAACACTCCAAACACATTTCCAATAACCCAATTCCATTGTTATTAGCATTTGTAAATCCCAATTACAGACCAATTTAAAGTTGCATCTCCTTATCCAAACAGCAGATCTTCTCACTCACATATCAGAGGAGCAGATATCTTCACTCACGTACCTAAGCACCAGAGTTACAATAGTGTACAGCATGTAAACAGGCCACTCGGCCCAACCAGTCTGTCCTGGTGTCTGTTTCCACATGAATATAAATAAAGTACACAAGTCTCCACCGATTCCTTCCTCCCCTCAAATACCACCCTAGTCCCCTCTCCCTCATATGACGTTCTAGTTTCCTCTTGAATGCATCTACATTTCTGATTCACCCACCACTTCAGGCAGCGAGTTCCACAATCTTACTGCGCTCTGTGTGAAGTAGTTCCTCCTAAGTTCTCTTTTAGATCCTCCTGTTGCTATCTTATAATTATGTCCCCTGGTTAGACACCCCAACCAATGGAAACAGACTATTTATACTCACGTGAACGTTTTGCTAGCATTTGTGATGTCAGTGTTGAATTCTGCTACAGGTACACCCCTGGCAGCTACTTGGGGACCAAACAAGGCAGCTGGGTAAACGACAGATGATGTCCCAACCTTACAGAACAATTTCAAAAGATTCACATAAGAGTGCTATTACTTTAACATCATCAAGAATTATAAAATGTTACAGGATAGAAAAGCAATTTGGTCCTTGTAGGAGGGTGTGGGTCACGCCCAAAAATAAAATTTGCACAACAGTTTTTAACAAAAAAAAGTTTATTTTGACAAGTAAGCTCTATCTCTGTACATCAGTACATCAGTCTTCTCCACTCACTCCCAAGCCCCCAGCTTTATACTAGTGCTAAATTATCTTTTAGGATAAAGCTGGGGATTTGGGAGTCCAGCCCTTGTTAGCTCCCTTTACACATAGATTGATCACCAATAACCATAAAAGGCAGTGACAGGGTTTATCCCCCTGTCATAGCCCCACAGGTCTGCACTCATGTGTTTCTTCATGAGGTATGCAATCTTACCACTCTGTCCTGCTCGCTTCCAAATACACTTTAATAATCTTGATTGATAGATTCAATATGCTATAGGCAAGGGCAACTCCTGCTGGATTTGTGAATAAGTTAAAAGATGTGGTGAAATTGGATTGTTTCCTTTGGGAACAGTTTAAAATACATTTATCAATGGAATGCGTTGAAAGACCTGGGCCAAAATCACACCTCTGTCTACAGTAGGACCAGTACAACTCAATAATTCTTGGTGGTAGAGATAGTGGAGGAGGAAGGGAGAGGGAGAGAGAGCGAGGGAGAGAAATGAGGAGGGAGATTAGTTTCTGACAGACCCCTGAAATGGATTAACTGAAATGTAAGTGCTCCAAATGGTACTTCGACTGACATCTTCTATATTAACATTCTGAGGCTATTTTTGCAGTGCATAAGAATTTGCTAGACACAATAAGACCAAGGTCCATCCAGTTCAACTTTACCATCCTGGCAGTCAAATGATATGTCACGTCCCAATCTATATAATGTATCCCAAAATATTATTTCCTAACAGAAATCTATCTTGGTCAATTTCAATCTACGACTGTTTGTGGGACACTGCTGTGCGCAATTGGCTGCTGCATTTCGCCCACAAATATATGGTCAATTCACTTTACAGTCTATTCTGTGAAGCGCTTTGATCAAATGCAAGGATTATTATTATCTAATTTGTTCCTGAAACAATCGACACAATGATTTATTTATTAGTTGTTTTCTTAAACTGGCCTGTAATTCCCTCTATATGGAGAGAATATGCATTGTTTGCATACGATTAATTCAACCAATTAAGACTCCCATTTCAGTGTGCTCTAGTAGCACACTGCACCACCAGAATCTTGCATCGCACTATCAGCATAGAAGATTGCTCCAAAATGCCAATTGTACCTATTTATTCCCGGTCTAGCCCGGCTAGTGCCAATAGCTCATCTCACATCAGGTTTTGAAATAGTCAACAGCAGCAGCTTGGTATATGGGGCAGGTATTGACAAATGCCAAATCTTTCATATTTGGAAAGACATTTGTGTAGTAGGAAAGCATATACTTACCACAAGACAGAGGTCACAGATGTCAAGCTCATTGTTCACCTCCGTCAAGATATCAGAATCCAGGGTCTCTCCAAACCATACCACATGTGGACGAAGCAGACCATTGCAACCGGACTCCTTGCACCTACAGGCATTACATACAGTGCTAAAGCATTTCTTTGGTACCAATAAATATATTTTCAACTTTCTCTATCAATAAAAGTACTGCTTCACATTGCCCACAAAGCTACTTTGTTTAAAAACTCACTGCATAGGATAGTAATTACAGTGAATTGGTAAGATGTTACAACACTATAATAATGTAATTATTTTCATATTTAATTCAAACAAGCCACAATGGCTTTACCATAACCTCAACTGGAATTAGAAATGTTTACAGAAACTAAATATCAAACCAAAAAGTTAAATCAACCCATCATTAACTTCCAATGAGAGATTTACACATCATTGACTTCTCAAGAAGCAATCAATCTTTTTAATTCTTCCCTCCACTGCGCAAAATAATCTTTTATTGGATTCGCAAAACTGCAACAGATACCGTGTGAATGCTATATGTGGTACCCACCATGAAGTCGTTATATATAAAAAAAGGACACAGCATTTCTACCTGGGAAGATTCTCAACTGGAACTTTGGCATCCTCAGTATTGGGATCAGGTGCACTAGAAATAAACAAGAGATACATATGGATCATTAATGGTATATTTGTTGGTATATTTTGCTTCAAAATAGTATACCTGGGTACAGTATCTGAAACTTAACTACATACATTTTATTTTTAGCAAAACAGGTTTTATTGTATGATTTTTAGTTCAGCGGGAGGAACTGGTTGCTTCTCAGCATTGGCAGATACACCTTCTCTCCCCCGTTAACCACTCCAGTGTCATACTAATTTCTTCATCAGGGTGGGTTGCTGAATGCCATAGACATTACACAAATTAATGCCCTTCATCATCTACTCCCAAGATGTGTTCTTGGGTGTGAAACAGAATTCCCTCACGTGTCTTCCTCCCATCTGCACGCCCACCAGCCTTTATTTCCTCTCTAGCCACTCTAACCAAAACCGGCAAACTCAACCTCTAAGGGAAGCCTGAGAGCAAATATTAGTTAAGACTAAACTCTACTTTCTTAGAACATTTCTGAATTCTGCGTGCAGTATTAGTTATTAGAAATCTTGAATAGTTCCACTAAATCATTACCCTTTTCCGGCTAATTCTGGACATATTGGACTCTTGTAATTCTCCGTAACATTATTACAGTTTGTGCAGCGTGTTTTGAATAAACTGCCTAAAGGAGACAAAAACAGGGCAATTTAAACATCAAAAGCAGCATAAAAAAAGAGCTTCAGATCTTTAGGAGCAACCTATGAGACAAACCAGGTTATTATTATGATTCTTAATAGAGAAATACCACAAAAATTAACCTCAGTATACTTTTCTCAGTATATTTTTCTCAATCATTAGAAATTCTCAACCACAGGCTTTTTAATTACATGTTGTGATTGGTATTAACAACAATAAGTACTGGTAGCGGGTTTCAGAGAACAAAGCTATACCATACCATGAATTTCCAAGACATTTTTTGAACCTGCCCTTTTATGAAGGTCATCAATGTTCTGAGTAACAACCACAACCTTTCGCCCTTGCTTGCTCAATCTCGCTTCACACTCTGCTATGGCAATGTGTGCAGAATTTGGGCTTTTGCTCAGCATCAGTTCACGACGGTAGTGGTAGAATTCCCATACCCTGGAAGGATTTCTTCCAAAGGCTTCTGGGGTAGCTAGCTCCTGATAATAAGGAAAAAACACATATTTGTATGTAAGGTACCACAGTAACTACTATACCCCAAATAAAGTCTATGCAGAAAGATTTTAGCACAACTACTGTAAAATCTACTGCCTAAACATTTTTCTAGAAATCCAACAGGTAAGCAACTCACTCTAGTGAAGCTTTTCTCCAAATGGCCATCATAAGAGAGCAGATTTACAACACTTATTTTTAAACATTATCTAAACCCCACACAGTTCACACAATATTTTAAATTAATGTGAATGTTTAGGGTTTTAGTTGCCCTTCTATAATAGGAGTTCTTACATTTGATATAGTGCCTCATCACGTAGTTGAGACTTCTCAAATCGCTTCAGAGAATATACTATAAAATGTACATTTGTATATTTTGTGGGCGAAATGCGACAGCCAATTTCGCACAGCAGTGTCCCACAAACAGTCATGGATTGAGTGACTAAATTATAATAATAATAATAATCCTTGCATTTGATATAGCGCTTTTCACGTCGGGAGGACGTCCCAAAGCGCTTCACAGAACACACTGTAAAGTGAATTGTCTGTATATTTGTGGGCAAACGCGGCAGCCAGTTGCGCACAGCAATGTCCCACAAACAGTCGTAGTTTGAAAATGACCAATCTATTATTGTTTTTGGTTTTGGAGGGATTATTATTAGGCTCTGTGTGGAGTAAGGAAACTTGCCCAAGGTTTCGCCCTGCCTGGAATTGAACTCAGGTCTCTCGCTTGCAAAGCGAGTGCTCTAATTATCATTATCACACACTTTACTCGTCTAGGTGATAGGCAGCACATTAACAAATTCAGTTGCCAGCAGAAGTCACAATGTGTGACGTTTAACTATCATTTGTTCTTGCTTGTTGTGAATACCATATTTTGAATCCTAATATAAATGTGGATGTCATAATTGGTAGCTGATTGTAGAAATGTTGAATATTTGAACTCATAGTCTAAGGTGACACTCCAATGCAGTGCTGGGGGTGTGCTGCATTGTTGGAGGTACCTTCCTACAGATGAGACATTAAAGATTCTGTGTTAGCGTTCAATAAGTGAACAACATTTCTCCTGGTGTTCTGGCCAATAATCCTCCAAATAAAATTGGTCACTCACTTCAATGCTGCCGGTGGGACATTGCTATGTGCAAATTGACTGCTGTTTCCACCTGCAAATACAGTCACTACATTTTACAATAAATCCTGTGAAGCACTTTAAGATGAAAAGGAACTATAGCAAATAAAAGGATGAATACTATTGCTATAATAACCTACTATTCATTGTGCATAATTTAAGGTTTTACAATAAGAAGCTGAGAAAAGAGTCTCTCCTCTCCTTTCCCGTTAAGTGTAGCATGTAAAGCATCCATTATTACTGCTAACAGGGTGACCAAAAAGTCATGATGCTACCCTATTATCTAAAAAAAATCATAATTTCTTGAAGGTTTATTCATTGTAATAATAATATTGTAATAAATATTCATTGTAATGGTATCACAACTTTTTGGTCACCCTGTATAAGGGGAAAAGGCTAAAAGCATTACTTTAATGTTATGTGCAATAAAATAAAGTCCTACTTGGCGTCTACATACAACAGCAACTTGCACTTATATAGCACCCTCTATGCAGGGCACTATATAAGTGCAAGTTGTTGTTGCTGTTGAGCTTTCCTATTATTGTTGAGCATACCTGAGCCTTCCATTTTCTCCATAAGCCCCCAGCTCCTCGGAAAGTAGGGACTCCACTCTCTGCACTGGCCCCAGCTCCAGTTAGTATTGTTATGTGCTTTGCCTTTGCAAAGATTTCCCGAAATTCAGCCAAATCTAAAAACGTATAAGCACACAGTTATGACAAAGGCAATTTGAAGTTACCACTCAAGTCACCTATTATACTGCACAGCAAACAGCACTCAATCTGCAGTTTTCCATTTAACCAATCTCCTTAAATTGAACTTTTTCCATAGTTGGACAGTTACTCTTCCATAAAGTATCACTCGAGCTATACTTTGATATGCATTTGCATCAGAATTGAATCAAAATAGAAATTGTAATTTAAAAAGGTTACCATTAAATTTATAACCATTTATAATCTCCATTAGCAGATCTAGTTTCTTCTCAAAAAGATGTTATGATGCATGAAGTTTCTGCATTAACATCTATTTCTCTTTCGATTTTAATATATAAACAACGTTAACAAACAAGGTAAGTGGGGGCTCCTTGTAGCTGAACTGGCACCAAGGTGACATGCCCAACAATAGAAAGTCGGAATCGAATCAGCCCTTAGTTCCTGAGCCAGGCGGGTCCGTAGTATTCCAGGGCTCTGATGATGATAGAACAGCCGGCTGGCACATCGGCAGGACCTGGAAAGGCAGACCAGCCATTGAGGGCTCCTGTCAACCCTTGCAAGCCAAAGACCTAATGGGTAATGGGTAGGATGGTCCTAGCTGGACCAGCAGCAGAAAAGCTCGTCAGTCAGCGATATCAATGCAAGACTCCAGAAGTACCTCAAAGCACTGGTTAGACTCCAGTAGTACCCCAAAGCACACTACGGTGTCCCAAAGCCTTGACTCTTGCCAACCTGCAGCTAATACTTTTCGGAATTGGGTAAGCAGGATGCAACCCTCCCGGGAGAGAGTGTGCATTCCATTCCAACAATCCATCTCTGTAATTTCCATATTTAGATGGGATGCAGGGAATTCTCAGTTTGTTGTGGATACTCTTAAGCAGGTTGATGGGTTTCCGTATGCGTCATACACCCGGCTGAACAAAAAGCATTAGCAACAACAACTTGCATTTATATAACTCCCTTCCTGCGAAGCAGTGTCTTGGAATATTCAACAATAAACTTAAAGCTATTTGAAAAATGTTTCTTCAAATCCACAATTATGCAAACTTTTTTTTTGCAAAAACTGGGAGGACCCAGTGTGCACAACTTACTCACCTACTGAATACAAAGACAATTGTTAACAATCTGCAGTTGCATCAGTAATTAGGTTAACTGGAGATTACTCCAGCTGTTATATTGGAACTGACTCAATTTCAATTTCAGTCCTCATTGTTTTTGAGGGATCATTGAGGAAATACACATGGCTTAAGTCGAGCACTAAACAGACAACATAAACCTGTTTAGAACAGGGAATATTTAATCTTTTTAGCTAAAGTCTCAGCTATTGTTTGTGTGTTTCTTAATTCAAAGTAAACTTAGCAAATGACATCACAGAAAAAGGGCAATATCCCTTCATTTATGTTGAATAGCTGAACCTATTAACCTTTCCTCGAGTAACCTTACCATGTTTCACTGCATTTCTAATTTTAAACGTCAATCATCATTCTAAAGTTTCTGCAGAGATTACAAAGTCGAATCTGACAAATCAAATATGTCCTTACGAGAGAAGAAATAAATGCAGCAAACAAGAAAATTCTCCCTCTGTGTGTGAAAGTTGTAAAGGTCTACCATTCAAGCCATTAACCAAGGTCAAACGAATCAACATTTACTCAGTGTTACTTTAAATATCAATAACATTTCACAATCATATTCAACAAACGCAACCATTCAGAAAGTCTGAAGGTGCCCCTAATCCTCCCCCACTCCCCAAACAAGAGCACCGACCTGAACTTGGACGATTCATTTCAATCCGTGTCAGTTTCAACTTTGAAGTTTTTCTGAGACAATTCCCCACCTGAGATATAAGAGTCCGAGTGCTGAACTGAAGGAGAATCATTGGATATATCGGTTGAATCTGGAAGGGAAAAATTATATATTTTTTATAACTCTCAAAACAGTAGTTACCCGTCTACTCTACGTTCTTGATTGAAAAACAGCTCGAGTTCTTTCCGCTGTGCCCTCCCCCTGGTTAGGCCTGAACCATGCTCAGAGGAGGAGCTAAAATTACCAAAACAACAAGGGCTGAGTGAATATTACTGGTTTATTTAAATAAAGCACTGAACTTTTCTGGATAGATCAGCTATAAATGAAACATCCGTCTATGGATTATTAGTTCCTACATACAATATAATCAAGCAGATATGTAAAAAAAAAGTGAATATCAACAACAACAACAAAGTTACACTTATAGAGCACCTTTCACATCGGGAGGACGTCCCAAGGCGCTGAACAGTCAGGTGTTGGGGTGAGGGAAGGCAGAGAGGTGGGAGGGAGACCAAAGGCACGATCGAAGAGAAGGGTATTGAGACCGGCCGTGAAGGAGGGAAGGGGGGGACGGAGGCGAAGGGACCGTGGGATGGAATTCCAGAGTGTGGGGGCAGAGAGGCTGAAAGCCCGGCCACCGATGGTAGGACGGGTCGGGCGGGAGACACGGAGCAGACCGGAGCGTGATGAACGGAGTTTCACAAATATTGTAAATATAAAAACTGCTACAAGGAAAATATATTACAGATATTATGTCAACACAAGCAATGTAATATGGTAAGCACTTAAATAAGCACTTAATTGTAAGCACTTACATAACTGCTACAAATAAATATTGCAGCTATTATATAAACATAGGAAATGTAATAATGTATTTTATTGTACACAAACAAAATATGAAAAGAATACTTTAATTTGATATAGCTGGTGCGGGGGGGGGGGGGGGGCTGGGGCGGGGGGGCGGGGGGACGGGGGGGCTGGGCTGGCGCGGGGGGTGGGGGGCTGGGGCGGGGGGGTGGGGGGGTGGGGGCTGGGGGCGGGGGGCTGGGGGGGGGCTGGGCTGGGGTGGGGGCTGGGGCGGGGGGTGGGGTGGGGGGGCTGGGTGCTGGGCTGGGGGGGGGTGGGGGTGGGGGGGCTGGGGGCGGGGGGCTGGGGGGGGCTGGGCTGGGGTGGGGGGCTGGGGTGGGGTGGGGGGGGGGGGGCTGGGGGCGGGGGGCTGGGGGGGGGCTGGGCTGGGGTGGGGGGCTGGGGTGGGGGGGTGGGGGGGGGGCTGGGGGCGGGGGGCTGGGCTGGGCTGGGGGGCGGGGTGGCTGGGTGCTGGGCTGGGGGGGGTGGGGGTGGGGGGGCTGGTGCGGGGGGGGGGTGGGGGCTGGGGTGGGGGGCTGGGGTGGGGGCTGGGGTGGGGGGGCTGGGTGCTGGGCTGGGGGGGGTGGGGGGTGGGGGGCTGGGGGCGGGGGGCTGGGGGCGGGGGGCTGGGCGGGGTGGGGGTGGGGGGCTGGGGTGGGGGGTGCTGGGGGCTGGGCTGGGGGGGGCTGGGGTGGGGGGCACCGCAGCCGCTCGCTGGCACTCGGCCCCTCAGCGCTGACAGCCGCGGGGCCCTTGTGTCAGCCGAGGCCTGGACCCCGGGGCCTGATCGAGTGCCGGATCTGAGCCCCTCCGCGGGGACAGGACAGGGAGAGCGCGGCCGCGGCAGAGCCCTGACAGCCGGAACCCCGGGGGGGAGAGGACGGGGCTGAGGGAGGGGCGGCGGCCCGGGGTGGGGGGGGGGTTGGTGGCCCGGGGGTGGGGGGGGGTGGCGGCCCGGGGTGGGTGGGGGAGGGGGTGGCGGCCCGGGGTGGGGGGGGGGGGTGGCGGCCCGGGGTGGGGGGGGGTTGGTGGCCCGGGGGGTGGGGGGGGGGGGGGGGGTGGCGGCCCGGGGGGTGGGGGGGGGGGGAGGAGGACTGACACTTACCCGCTGTGAGGCGCGGAGCGGCGGCGGTTACAAAGGTGCCGATGGCCGAGCTCGGCACAGCGCCCCCTGCGGGCCGGGCCGGGCCGGGCCGGGCGGCGGCGGCGTGAGGAGCTGCACGTCCCGAGTCCCGGGTCACAGCCACTCGATCAGGGACACGGAGTTGAATAAACGGCGGCGGCGCTGCTCACCCGCCGCTCATGTTTGCGGATGAGCGCAGACCGGACGGCGGATACAGGGGATCATCAACGGGAAATCAACTCGAGCGACGAAGCTCCTGATCACCGGAGCGCGAGGCTCTCCCGGGGTTTGGACGTCACGTGGATGACGACACGTCACAGCGACCGTCACTCACCGTCCGACTCCGGGACTCGATTTGAAGGCGAATCTGTCAGTCCCGGAGTGGGGGCCCCGGGGGGGGGGGACGTCCCTCAGTCACTGTGTCTGAGCCTCACACCGGGGAGGGGCTGTGTGTCTGAGCCTCACACCGGGGAGGGAGGGGCTGTGTGTCTGAGCCTCACACCGGGGAGGGAGGGGCTGTGTGTCTGAGCCTCACACCGGGGAGGGAGGGTCCGTGTGTCTGAGCCTCACACCGGGGAGGGAGGGTCCGTGTGTCTGAGCCTCACACCGGGGAGGGAGGGTCCGTGTGTCTGAGCCTCACACCGGGGAGGGAGGGTCCGTGTGTCTGAGCCTCACACCGGGGAGGGGCCGTGTGTCTGAGCCTCACACCGGGGAGGGGCCGTGTGTCTGAGCCTCACACCGGGGAGGGAGGGGCCGTGTGTCTGAGCCTCACACCGGGGAGGGAGGGTCCGTGTGTCTGAGCCTCACACCGGGGAGGGAGGGGCTGTGTGTCTGAGCCTCACACCGGGGAGGGAGGGGCCGTGTGTCTGAGCCTCACACCGGGGAGGGAGGGACCGTGTGTCTGAGCCTCACACCGGGGAGGGGCTGTGTGTCTGAGCCTCACACCGGGGAGGGGCTGTGTGTCTGAGCCTCACACCGGGGAGGGGCCGTGTGTCTGAGCCTCACACCGGGGAGGGGCTGTGTGTCTGAGCCTCACACCGGGGAGGGAGGGGCTGTGTGTCTGAGCCTCACACCGGGGAGGGAGGGGCTGTGTGTCTGAGCCTCACACCGCGGAGGGGCCGTGTGTCTGAGCCGTGTGTCTGACACATGCAGAAACCCACCATCTGTGTTTAAGAGACTCCAATTCCATCGATGTGTTGCTATTTCCCTTTGGTCTGGAGGGCGGCTCTCCCTGGAGCAGTGCCCCGGCCTCACGCTGACTCTCAGTTTAGTCGCAGGCTGTAGGATTTGGGGGACCTCAAAAAACAGTCAAACCAGTTTTCAGCAACCACTGAGGAGACTGGACCAAAGTGGCCTTTATGTAAATGGAGGCCTCAATGACCAAAAAAAATGTTTTCAAGGATCTGTGTGTAGACTCCCTCCAGATTCCTGGTGTAGTTACCAAGCTTGAGGAGGGAAGCTGTAGGTATCACATGGGCATCTCAGCATGGCATTGGTAAATGCACTAGAAGTCTAGCAGGAGCTTATACTGTCCCATGGAAATTGGTAACACCAATATACTGATAAGTACATTTAAATTCACTTAGGACTGGCTGCTGAAAAGGATGTATGTACACTGACGAGGCTACAAAAAGTGGCCACTGTTTCCATCAGACAGGTGTTTGCTGAATAGAGGTGGTTTATTCTGAAAAATTGGTCAGGACTGTGCCAGAGAGTTGTTGACAGCAGGTGGTTGCTGAATAGAGGTGGTTTCTTTAGCAGGTTTGACTAAGTTCTGGCATACTGCTGGAGTTTAACCAGATAAACTAGCATTCGGAACATCAGTAAGATTCTTACTGTTTGTCAGCTAGTTAAGGGTCAAATTGGCAGTTCATTCATCATTTAGTGCATTGATGGACCTGGATGTGCTGTTGCACCATTTTTAATGGCAAAGTTAAAGAAGCTATGATTTGGTTTGCTCCAAATCAAATTACTCCACTGCTAAATGGCACTGGCAGGCAGGCAATTCATCAGCAATTAATGTTTGAAGATGAATACAGGCAGGTTCAATGGATGCTTCAAAATGGAAAAAGAAACAAAAAATAACCTTTTCTTTCACAGGTATGTTCTATATGATTTTTGTAAGTTGAAAGAAGTTGCATTATCACGTAAAAGCATCTCATGAAGCATTACAGTAATCACTGTCAATTGTAGCGACTGTATTTGAAGGCAAATGCGTCAACAATTTTGCACACAGAAAAGTTCCACAAATAACCATGTTTGACCAATGAATCTGGGGATTGTTGGTCAGGACACAGGGAGCAACTCCCTTCTCTTTTGAAATTATATCATGGGATCTTCAAAGCCCACCTGAAAACAGGTAGCAGACCTTGATTTAATGTCTTATCCAAATGATAGCACTAACAACAATGCAGCACATTCTCAGTATTGCGTTGGAGTATTTGTGTAGACTGTGAGCTGTTTTACAACTCAGAAAACAAACAGAAATCAAAGTCAACCAAAAGAATAGATGGCTGCTTGGAACATGGCTCATGACATCTCTGCAACACAGTTACACAGCTGAAGAACATGACTGTAATGAGTTACATGAAACACATTAGAAAGAAGTCGACATCCTGAAGCAGCAGATTCATTGAAAGTACAATCCAAGCTGCGCCCTCCTCTATACATACCTAGTGAGGTCTATGAAATATTTAGTGCAAGTTGCATATGCCACAGCATATTTGCAGAGGAGCATACAATTCACAATCTCCAGAGAAATTGAGAGTACTTGTGGACCTTCAGCAGATATACAAACAGAGAAATGGCCAGGGCAGTGGGAAGGGAAACCAAAGACAACCTCACCCAATAATTGATTACCTGGAAAGAACTAATCATTACCAAAGTCTGACCATTCATGATATTTCCAGCTTCACTAAAAACATACAAAACAAGATATGAAGTTTCAAAATCAATAAATGTGAGCAACAGAGAAAACAATTTGCTATGGACACTGCACCCTGTAATAAAAGTAAAAATATTTACCTCGCTCCAAATGCCAATATACATTGCAACCAAAATTACAGCATTCCACAAAATGTAAGTAAAGAGAACGTGTAAGTAATGTCTGCTTAAATAGGCTTATCGTAATGTGATATGAATATTTTCTAACATGATTCCTTAACAAGAAAACCACAAAATTCACAAGAAAATCATTCCTAAATGGTCTATTTTCAAAGTAAAGATTTTGAAGGTTGGCATGATTTGTGTGACTTACTTCAAATTACCTTAAGGAGTGTCCACTCAGATTCCTGTTAGAATTCACCTCGTGCTAAACCAATGCTTCTATTTGATGATTTCCCTCCCCCCACCACTGCATCCTGTTAGGCCCATGCACTACTTTTTCAGTGTGTATTTTCTGTTTGTATATTTGTGAGTCTTATTTGCCACCACTTTTAATATTGCTGGTTGGGTCGTGTGGTGGGGCACAAGGACAGACAGACTCATTTCAGCACTGAGAGAATGAGCACTGTGCTGTTGGATAGAACAGTATCGCTGATTGTTGCCTGTTCCTTAAGGACAGTAAGAACAAGACAACATTTGGAAGTCAAGATGACTACTATCTGTTGAAGTTGACCGTACAACAAATAATACTGGCGGAGAATTTTCATTCTGCCTGAAGCGTGAAGTGTTCCAAATCAAACTGCAAATTTGGTAGAGTAGCCAGACAGTTGTCTAGATGGCTGAGTCTAATCTGCCTATGTGGAAAGCTGTCAGTCTTTCACTTTGCAAAGACCTCAAGTGATCCCTAGTGTCAGCAAAAACAACCCTTAAATTTGTACATATTCCAACTACTGTATCAGCAGAATCAAAAGCACTGCTTCGCCTGGGAATGGGCCAGAATATAATCACTCTGCTTCGACTGTGAATATGGTGCGGTCAGAATAGACAAAGTATAGAATCGGGAACCCGAGAACAGAGGAACTGAAGTCACTTGTATTCTATGTTTAACACTTCATTTACTGAAGCAAAAAATAAATAATTCAATTCAATAATTGCATTAAATCAATAAGCAGGGTTACAACTGTCTTATGCTATTATGCTCACATAGTACGTGACCATTGTGACAATATCAAAGTTCATAGGCAGCAGCTAAAGTTCTCTTGTTTTGGGAATGCTGATGATAGCAAGCATTGAATCTCTTGCAACTATGTTCTTGTATCTCGTTCTTATACCAGCATCTTGTGACGTCCACCAACGTGAAAGGCGCTATACAAATGTAATTTTGTATCATATTGTATCGTTGATGTCTGTTCTTTCTTGAGACTTGAGACATATCAATAACATAACAACAACAGCAAAATTACATTTATAGAGCGCCTTTCACGTTGGGAGGACGTCCCAAGGCGCTGGACAGTCAGGGGTCGGAACCCGAGCATGGGGAAGGGGTGGGGTAGGGGTGAGGGAAGGCAGAGAGGTGGGAGGGTGACCAAAGGCACGATCAAAGAGAAGGGTCTTGAGACCGGCCTTGAAGGAAGCAAGGGAGGAAGCGAGGCGAAGGGAGAACTGGGATGGAGGTGGGATAAGCTGCTAAATCAAATGCAAAAATTATTATTTTTATTTCTTCGTTTGAAATGCTGTACACTGTCCAGCGCCTTGGGAAGTCTTCCCAACGTGAAAGGCGCTATACAAATGTAATCTTGTTGTTGTTGTTGTTGATGTTACTTGAATATCAGAACCTCAAATGGGAGTTCTGCCCTCCTGGATAAATGAACAATGCACTCTCTCTCCGACTGAACTATTGAAATGTAGCTCGTCTTTACTTCTTTATATCATAAGGCAAAATACTGCAGGTGCTGGAAATTTGAAGTAAAAACAGAAGTCGCTGGGAACACACAGCAGGTCAGGCAGCATCTATGGAGAGAGGAAAATGAATTCACGTTTCAGATCGATAACCTTTCCTCAGAACTGTATATATTTTTTGTCAGAACTCCATAGATGTTGCCTGACCTGCTATGTTTTCCCAGCGACTCTGTTTTTACTTCTTTACATCATGGTTGTTTACTTCAGGCAGATTAGTGCTTG